GCCATTCCTGGTGTCTGGCACAGCGAGGGCATGGCCCATACCCTCACGCATCATCTCACCTTGTTTTCCGTGTGCCATTCCGTCGGTTTGGCATACATGGCCCCAAAATTTCATCTCACTTGTCGTCATCATCACCAGGCCAGCCCAAAGTACCCCAAAACGCTGTTGTTTCTGTCATTGGCTTCAATGACTCTGTACGGTTGCTGTTATCTGTCTTTGCATTAGGATGCTCGAGGTTCGCCTCATCAGTTCTCGCCGAGCCTAAGTGTGTGTGTGTGTGTGTGTATGTATGTATGTATGTATGTATGTATGTATGTATGTATGTGTACATATAAATATATATATATATAAACACACACTTAAGTCTCACGCTCGCACCAGTACTATAAGCCATGACAGGTTTTCACAAGTTCTTGCATACAACCGTATGTACCTGCTTAGAACTGCCTGTGTATATCTATATACGTATATATATATATACACAAACACATACACTGTAAGCAATAAAACTCAGAATACATATCTGGCTAAGGAGCATCAAACAAGACCTGACGTGAGTAAACACAATATGTAAGAAGGGTAAGGGCGTCTAAAAGTATGCACGTAAATTATGTAAAACTGTATGTCTGCACGCAAGGCTATGCAACACCATATGCATGTATGCTGCAGTATGGACCACGAAATATTGACATACTACTCAGTACCATCGCATGTTACGACACACCGCTGCATGCAGTTGCATGTTGTTGCATTCTGTTATACAGTGTTCGTCTCCCTAATATGTTACTACAAAAGTTGTCCTTTCTCGTCATATCCCATATTCAACAATCGTATCCTGCCATATGCTTTTAATGCCCATACTACCAGATGCTTGCCATGTTCAAAACGGCGTATAACACGTCCGTATTGATGTGTATGTGTTTTCATGTGTACGTGCATGTGTATATATATACCAAAATACATATACATGGAAATGTGCGTGTACATACACATACAAATACACATATACATACACATATAAATACACATATACATCCACATCTACATATACGTAGACATATACGTATACATATACGTATACATATACGTATACATACGCGTATACATGTATATATACATATACATATGCATATGTCTGCAATCATATACATACATATACATACATATACATACATATACAGACATGTATGTATGTATATATATATATACAGTTATATACATATACATACATAGACATACATATACATTCATTTACAGACATATACATACATATACATACATATGAATATCATAGACATACATATACATGCATATACATACATGCATGTGTTTATATATACATATATATATATGTACATGATATTTTAACGTCTCCATCTCATTTTGTATATGCTCGTATGCGTCCCCGATCTTGGTTACTTAAAACAGTATCATGGAGGCGGTAATGGCGATCGAGATTGCCGCTCGACCTCAACACTTTCAACAACACCAACTGAAAGAGGGCCTTCGGAACCTCGTTGATGTCCAGGCCGGCCCCTGCAAAGGTCATTGCCTCCGACGAGAGACTGGGAGATACCTTCAACATCGCAGAAAACTCGCTACACTTCGGCGACTCACGAACCCTGGAATCCTAGAAGCCGAAATTCACAGTAAAAGGCTTTGCAACCCAATGCGACGCTTCAAGCTTCAAGCATCCCAACACTTTAGCTCATTCATAGACCGCGAACCCCGCACACCAGACTTCAAACCCTCACAGTAATAACCCAGACTACTCAAAGCCGTGAACGGCTTTCCTACTTGTCGGGGCCCTGGCATTGTGCCCCGGCGCGTAATCGGTCACCTCCGTCGAACCGAGGTCGACGATCACCCGCCTCGAGTTTGGGCTTTTGGCCTTAAGGGTTCAGGGTTTGGGGCGCAAGGTGTGTATACAGTGCGCGCGCGGTGGGTGCGCCTTTTATTTTTAGGAATAAGGGGCACGCCCACTAATCGCGCGCTCGTGGGCCTTTAGATGTGAGAGGTAAGGTTTCAGGTACAAGGTTTCGGGTTGAGGTTCAGGATCATTCAAAACTTCGGTCGGCTTCGGGCCGTGAGCTCTATGCCGACCTCCCGCCTCTTCGAGGTGTCCACGACGTAGCCTCGAGTAGGCTTGGCTTGAAGGCTTTGAGCTTTGAATGCAGGGTCTGCAAGGACATCTTGCGTGGGTGTTGGGTGCTCCACTTCCAAGTCAAGGAAGCAGAGTCGGCGAAAAGCAGATGCTTTCTCCGACACTGAACACAGACCAGCATGGTGCGGTGAACATGTCCGGAAGGGCCGACCTCCCGGTTTTGCCAATAAGGCTTGGGGCACCAAGAAAGCCAGTCAGATCCCCTCTGAGATCCGTGCTTACACGCCAGCAGTAGCCTGGAAGGGGCGCATCCTTGGATCAAAGCTGAAAAGATCCAAACTCACTTGCCGCGCTCTGCAAGTGCACTGCGAAGGTACCAGAACCCACCAGGAGCTGGATCTCAGGCCACGAGTCTAGGGAGGTCATGGAAGCCCCGAGAGTGCAGACTCCCGCAATCTCCAATGCCCAGCAGCCCTCAAACTTGACGAAGACTTTCGATTCGCTGGTCTCCTGTGTCCTACATCCCCCTGCACCCCAAGCCCTCCATAAAAGGACCCAAGGCCAACACTGTGGTGAAGCCAATCGCAAGGCCCAGCCCTTCCTGCGTCGAAAAGCCGTCTCTGGTGGTCGTTTCTGAATCCACAAGCCCAACACGAGACCACACGGGCGCCCTAAGCCCACCACTTAGTGGGAAGAAAGCCCAAACAGCACAGCCGGCAAGCCCTGTCTCGGGCCTCGAACGCGCACTCCTCTGTCGGATTCCTCGGGGGTCAGGGCATCGTGGGCTGAGACTCAGAGGCAGTCGGGTGGATCCCCAGAGACAACCCCGAAGCTGCCAGCTCAGACTGCCTTTTGAGCAGTGGCAGCGGCAAGAGCAGATGATGCGACCAGCAATCAAGCACCAGCTGCCGAGGTGCAGGTCCACCGAAGTCACTTCCACAGCGGGCTCGGGCGGCGGGGGCGGCGGGGGCTGGCGCGCGTGGAGGGGGGCTCTGGGCAGATTGGGTTGGGGAGGGACAGTTGAAACAGGTAAGAATGATGCCACAAGCTGGAATCTGAAAACTCCGGACTTGCTTCACTCGGTGCCTCGATACCGGCCATGCTGGCGGAAGGGCGATGGCAGTGGATGATTTTCTTGTAAGAGCCAGTGGACTTTTTCACACTGTGGGACTGGGGCTCTAAGAAGCTTTGGTAAGTCCTGGGTCCTGGGGGTGCTTCGCATTGGAAACCCCTACACCGAGCATCGCATTTTCAGCTCAAGCCGAAACCAAGCAGGCGCACTTGCAATAACATGCCCAAGAATGCAGGCTCCCTTTATGCAAGATAGGGAGTTCGGGCATCTGGACTTGGTTGATGTCGATAAGGTCCTGTGGAAGAAGCAAGACTCAGTGCTACTGCTAAGCGCTACCGAACGCCTCAAACCCGAAGTGCTCTAAACCGAAATGGTGGACGATCATCCCACCTCTCCGATGGCATTCTGTGCCGTTCGAACCGATTTCTCGGTTTCCTTGATGGCCTGAGGGATTAGAAGTCTGGCAGTGGAACGGAGCTGGGTTGTGAAAATGGGTTACCTTCTTTTTCTTGTCATCGCATTACCAATCAAACCACTAGTATTAATGTGCAACTTCAGTACAGCTGACCTACTGCATCTTCAGCGTCAGCATGGAGCAGCTGTCTTGGGCTCCAGCAAGTAGTTGGTGTGGACTAGGATAGACTTCCAAAAGCACAAAGGTAGCAACACTCATGCAGGCCTTTTTCCTCGTGTTATCGTTTTCGTTATCGTTCTGTCATTGTCACACCCTACCACACCCGATTTTGAACGAGAGCCCCGGAGCGCCTGGCCGAAAGGCGTCTGTGAAGGGCACAAAGGTCTAGAACAACAGGGTGGCAAGATGACAGCTATGACGGTGGATAACGTTCCCTAGCGGCAACTTTAAGCAGGGTTTTCAGATGAGCAACCACCGGTGTCAATTAAAGAAGATATTGTGTAATGTTCTTGTCATCGTTTTCCATTCAAAACATTCCTTCACAACCCACCCGTGATTTGGGTTTGGGGATTGGGGGCGGAGGGTTTGATCCTAGCTCAGGCACTTGACTTGGGAACATCCATAGTACCGGTTGTGTTGAACTTTGCTTCGACAAACCTTACGCCGCCTTGCATGATTAGGGCTGGGGCTGGGGGGGCCATTGGGGGCCCTCCAAACCAGAGCCTGGAGCATGACGTGCCGGAGGTCGTCGTTGCCCTCCATCTGTAAAGGCGCAGCCGCGATGGAGACCTGAACGGACTTGGCCTCGACGTCCCGACTTTCAGAGCTCATGTCGTTCAGAGCTTACGGCGTCTCTGCGAGCGTGCAAAAACTCAGAGCGGTCTAACCAGCGTTTATCCCACCACGCCGTCCTCTCGTGGAAAACAGCCCCAAGTGGCAGGTCTGCGGACAGTGTCATCATGGAGTCTTGACCCTGAATCCTGCACCCTCTACCCGATCACTGTCCCAGTTTACCTCCCAAAAAAAAAGGAAGCTCGATGGAACCCTTTTCTTGTTGCCTCATTACGGAGCCCATGTCGTTTCGCCTTCGGCCCTGCGGGCTGGCGCCCAACCCCCCTGGCCTGGCCTTCTCCACCTCGTCCTCGGCCCCCTCCACCTTTTCCAAGACGGCCGGCATCATCTCCTGCGAGTCCGGGAGTCCGGGAGTGGAAATCGTGTTTGGTGCCGACTGCACGGCTTTAAGGCTCTTGGGCTCTTCGACTATGGATGAAGCGAATCCATCCTGATTCGTTGAGAAAGGTCCGCTTCTTGTTTTACAGCCTTGAATAACCACAAACGGTCACAACCGCACGATCGCTTCCACTCCTACTGCTGATTCTGATAGCATCTGCTAAGTTTATCAGTAAGGATACTGGATACTCATGTTGCTCCTTCTGCTGCTTACGGCATATTACTCCTGGCATTCCTGTTCTCGAACGGCAGCGTGAAGATGAGGCTGATGGCCAACGGCATGGCACCGGAGACTTAGGTTTAGAATCTGCAGCGGGCATTCGGTCTAAGAGCCTAGGGCTCTCGGAATACTGAATTTTTATCACGGGCTGTGCTCCTCCAGCTGCTGGCTCTGAGCGAGTTCCTCGGTTCTCCACACGGCTTTGCCAAGGACTGGGGGATGCCCTGCATAAACAAGGAGGAGGATGCATTTCCAAACGCCATCATCACGGCGTCCCCTGAATCTCAACTATCCTTCGTGAACAAACCATTAGCTTCGCAGTGGCATTCCTGTGCCTAGCTGCTCGGAACGAACAAACCAGCAATGGATTGGGAGCTTTTCACTTTTTTCGGGAACCCTCAGCAACATCGCTCCCCGCAATAGAAGGGGGGGACACGAGGACCAGGACACGAGGCCTCAGGCCACGGCCAGCTCGCTTTGAGGCTCCAGCGGCCGATCTTCGGCCTCGGCCTGTCCCGGAGGCTTTGGGGGAACAGAACAGCGAGGGCGGTGTCGGCCAGAGGTAGGGGTTGGAATTACAATACCGGCGCCGCTCCTTTGTTGTTAAGTCAAGCTCACGTCTTTCTTGCAGCTTCAGGCTTTGAGCTGCCAGGGTTCAGGGAAGGCCCTCGGAGCCAGCGATCCGGCCGAGGCATCCCTGCACAATTCACGACTTGGATCGCTCATAAATCTCGTCGACTTTGATGCCCAATTCCATCTCGTTCGATACGGTTTTGGTTATGCTGCGAGAGATGTGCACGAGCATAAATTGAAATGATGGGCCCCAAGACATGTATGCTTGGCAATGCCCCTCCCTGAGTTCTTCCCGAGAAGAGCAGTCGCCGTGGCCTTGACAGTCGTGAAGGGCTTTATCCTCGCCAGAGCGTCCTTCAGCTCGCCCTGACGAACAGCAACAGCTTCGTAGCACGACAGATTCAAGCCCCAGACACCGAGACCGCACTGGTCACCTTTAAGATCATTGACGGTGAAGAATGAAACCTTAAACCTGAATCCCCCAAGATTTCCTAAGCCCCTGACCCGAAACCCCCAAAGCCCCCGTTTGTCACCTGGAGACCCCGCAGCCGTTTACAGAGCTCCTGGAGCCGGGCGGCTTCGAGGGCCCAGCCGGGGTATCGGGCGAACAGGGTTAAGAGATTGAAAGCTTCACGTGACTTGAGCGAATCGTTCCACTAAGGTTGGAGTTAAATCCATCCAGAGCCTCAGAAGCAGATCATACTTGGCGGCCCATGAATCTAACGACTGTGCAGAAAAGTCACACGGGCTTGGACACCTACGTGTGATGTTTCACGTTTCACTGGAACAATTGAGAAGCTTCTTACAACACGCACAGGCCTCAGTTGGACTATGTCGGCTCGAGCACGTGTTTGCGAAAATAACTTTCACTGACTTGGCTGTTTTACATCTATTTTTGGACGGTAAAGCATTTCTGATCTCGAGTGAAGACAAGGAGGGCCAGGTTTCAGGAGAAACTTGAGTAATGCAGGACACTTTTGTGTAGAGACAATTGCTGGCAACATCATCAACATCTTCCTGCAATTGAAAGATCTGTCGAATCCAGTGAAACGGCTCTCTTATACTCCGGAATCTGGGAATCTGCCAAGTTGCGGAAAGAGGAGTATTCATGAGAATTTTGTCACCACAGAAGACAGCCAGAGTGATGCGCACAATCTGCGGGTTAACATTATCCGCTAAGCGGGCTTCGACGCGCAACACTTGTAGCTTGGGAGAAAGGTCAGACAAATCCCATTTAAAAATGTCTGCGATCGCACCACATGTTTCACAAACAGAGAGCTTGAGACAAGTATGGACTTTGATGGCAGATTTGCATCGATTATGAATCCATTCTGTCCAGTAAGTGGAATTTTGACAGCATAATTTTGATTCGTGCCACCCTATTTGTTCCACTCAGTGCGTGGTGGACGGGTTCCATTGCAAAGAAAGGCAACGCATTGGAACAGCCCAAATCGCATGTTTGATGCCAAGGACGAACTAAGCTGTCAGTGTTTGCTTGTCTCGGCCCTTGTTCTTCAGCAGCAAACTGCTGATACGAATCGGGGTTGCGGCTATTTCCATCCATTGCCAAATGAATTGAGCAACCAGGAGCTGTAACGTATGCCAATCATGTCTGAGTGTCGTCGGCATCTCGGCAGAGCAAATCATAGCGCAATTGGCACAGCTAGGCGAATTAACGCGGTTACAGAGCTCCGAAGGCAACGATTTTGTGTCAGCGAAAAGATGGTCTGATGTGCTGAATGCTGCTGTCATCCTTAAGACTGTACTCGCAATGAGGTGTGGCTGTTTATCCGCATTTGACGACGAAGCCGGTGAGAGGTAGCATGAGCATCATCCGAATTTAATCGAATGAAAGGATTACGATAAGGCGAAGAAGGCTCAAATCCTCGTAAAGGGTTAGACGTGGCATAAACAGGAGGGTTGTCAAATCATTGCCATGTAGCGCGTTTTTGCTCCAAGACCTGATAAACATGCCTACGAAACTGCGCACGAATGATATGCTCAAATCTATGCTTGCCGGGTTCCGTAAACAAGATACATTCATTGTCGTTATGGCATGTGCATCAGGCGACAATCAAGCCATGCAATGTCTCTCTGGAAGATCGTCAAAGGAGCACGATGATCCTGTTTAGGAGGCACAGATTGCTCCAACATATCCTTCAAGTTGCTTGTGCCAACCATGGAACCAAATAGCTTGGATGAATACTTGTCTCAAGAATCTCATGCTATGATACACCATGGTACTTTTAGGATCACCAGATGTGTGTGCTCACAAAACACATTGTGCGCCGCTTTCGCGTTTGGCTTTTGCGAAAAGCTGTAGCTTTACTTTTTTCATTTCAGACTGTCCTTTTGTGGGACACGCAACTGAACAAGGATAGCAAATGGCTGGCACCATTTTGCACGCAGCAACGGTGATGGGTTTGTCGCACGCGATGTGAATTCTGACAATTTGTTCAACACAAAGCAACATTTCTGCAGAATGGGCTTGTAGACTTCAGATGCAGAATTTCTTTAAGGGAAAGCGGCAATCCTAGATACTCAATCTGCTGTTGTCGCTTAACCTCATAAGCACCCAGCCACCGTAGATT